CCATATTTCACAGAAATATCAGGTAGGAAGGAGATTTCACCTTTGACAAAACCTGCATATTAACTATAGGACTTAACTTTCACAAGATTAAGCAGATGGTTGATTTAATAACATTTAGTTGTAAATACAAACCCAATTTCTTTATCTCAGTCACCCTGCCCACATATGAACAGAGAATAATAATAGAAATAAACCCCTTTAAATAGATACTCTCAGTGGAATACAACCTTTTTATTACAATGTTAATTATTTCAGAGGCATTCAATTAATCTGCCATAGTGAAAGGGCCATGTAAATACTTGTATTGCCCCTAATCCCCCTCTCATAGAAAAAATTACCATCAAGTTAGTGCCACTCATGCTCAAAATTTCAAACCTCACTTACTTCAAACTTCACCAGAAGACTCAGCAGATCACACTGGGTTGATTTAGATACAGCTGGCATAATAATACTAGAGCAAACTATCCACCCATATTTTATACAATGCTGACTTTAATTTTCAAATACAATCCCGAATATATTCACAAATAATTTATCATACCCCACCTACAACAAAATGTTTAACTTGTAATTGGATGCAGAACTTCTGTAATTATTACACAACCATTTAAAACCAAATAAAAATTCACCAAGCTAAAGAAAATTACTAACAGTTTGTGAGAATCTCCTAACACCTAAGAGAGAAAATTACATAATATGAGGAGATCTGAGAATTATTTTTGCAGTACTGACTAAGAACACTATATATCATGCACAATAAAGTTAATTTAGGTGCTTTTCACTTCAAAGAGTTCCTTGTTTCAACATCTGCTGGCATTTCAATTTTACCTTCAGGATATTTCAGCTGTCAGTACATTTCTGTAAAGTGATAAAGCTGGAACAATTCTGACAGGACAATCCTAAAGATGATTTGATGAACTTTTGTGAACTTTAGAAGTCACAGTAGCTAAACATACTGTGTTTTACACTACATTAGATTAGAAATGCCTTACCTCTTGATGGAAGCAGTATAATACACATAAGTAATAAGGAAAGCAAAAGGCATATAACCACACCAAATATGATTTTTAGCCGGGTCTGCAGAACAGAAAAAAAAAAATTACATTTCTAATATTGCCTGAAGCACACTTCTATGGCTGGTAAATTAAATCGTCCCACTCTCTAACTGCTGTAATCCATCCAAGCAAAAAGCAAAAACGTCCCTGCAGTACATATGAAAAGACTTCCCTTTCCTTTTTCTTTAAAACAAACATTTTCATATCAGAGCCTGACCTTGTGTAACAGCTGACAGTTTAAAACAAAAGATGTAAATGTTAGAGAAGTTGAATTTAGAGCATACAGACCTTCATTTTCCTGCCGTATTCTTAAAGAATGTAAATTCTCTCTTCTGGGTGTTGGTCAGCAGATCTAGGAGAGGAGTTTGAAAAGGCAGTGTCTGTTTTCACAGTTGGAGGCCAAACCTCTGGCAGACTTTTTTTTCCTACATACTTCTGAAAACTGTGCCAAATTTCAAAGGGTTTCCATAAAATTAAAAACACACTTTTGGGGAAGTTCTTGGAACAGAAATGGACAGTGGGTGGCTATAGGGGTGGTGATTATGTACTTCCCATCAATGTGAGCTGTAACCAACATCTGCTTACACTAACTTGAGGTTTTATGACTCATCAGATGCTTGACATGCACTGTTTTTCTCTGAAAAGTTTATACTGTGTTCTTTGGCAATCTTCACATTCTCAGGACATAGTCATGACCTTATTTCTGCTGTCTACAGAGAAATTAAAATAGAATCCTATAGCTTGTTTATATGTAATTCACGTACGTTTACTTTCTGAAATAATAAATGATAGCGCAAGAATGCAAATCAAGCAGCACAAACGGATACTGTTTAATGCCTTCCACATGTGAGGAGAATTACTGTTTTTGCCTGAAAACTATGCCCTTCTATAGGTTACGTAGGAGAGCTTAGAGAACTAAATACATACTGGCCCAGTGGAAATTCTGAAATAGTTCTTAAACCACCAATTGCACCTATTTTATTCAGCCCACTCCAACGCGGTCAGCTGAAAACTGGGAAAACTCCGAAGACCGCAGTGTCAAGTTACATAAGCCATCCCTCAGCAGAGGGGGGAAACGCTCGAAAAGCGAAGTATGCCGTGCTCATTACACTGACTTTACCCAAATATTCTAACTCGTGGTGTGCCTCGGAGCCGGCCCGGGGAGCGCCGTGAGGAGCGGAGCACCCCAAACTCCGCACTCCGAACCCGCAAAGCCCCAACCCCGCACCCGGCGCTGCCCTCGGGCGGGGCCCACACGGGGCGGGGAGCGGGGGAGCGGGGCCCCCTGGCGGCCAACAGACAGACATACAGACACACACACAAACACACAGACACAGAAACAGACGGACACAAACACAAACACAGACCCCTTCCTCACCTCCCCAAACACACACATAAACACACACATAAACATGGACACATAGAGACACATGTACACACCCAGACATACACACAGACACACCCACACATACAGACATACACATAAACACACACAGACGTGTAAAAACGTACGCACACATACATGCACACAGACACCCATACACACACATAATACACACAGTCACACATAAACGCAACATACATACACACATGCACACACATGCAGAGAGATACGCATACACGCACACACGCATGCACACACATATACACACATACACACATACACACATTCAGTTCACCTCTCTCCCCAGTTCTTGTCACAATAGCAAAGTACAAGTTAGATAAGATAAAGTGTCTAAGATCCATCCTGTTGATATAAGCCATGCAGGACAAAAAGGCTGGAAAGGCTAAAATACATTATTCCTGATACACTGTATATTAAGGGCAGAACTGAGCTCAAACGCAGTAGTTTTCCTAACAAGATAGTACTGCAACTACTCGAAATTTCCATAACAGAAAAGAATTGTGAGAAATGTATCTTTCCCCATGTAACTCATGCTTCATATTCATATTTCCAAACTGATACTTATTTCCTAGCATTCTGTGGTTAATGCCATTTGTATTTTCAATAACATGGTTCAGAGAAATCTGTTTGTTTCCTACCAACATTGGTTATTTCTGACAACCAGAACATCACAAAACTGCAAATGTAGGTTTTGATCAGCCTAGTTTTCCTTTCCAAATACGCAGCTTCTTTTAATGAATGCATAGTTAGAGAATGCTTCAAAGGAAGTGATTCAAACTCACATGATCCAAAAGGCTTTGCAAAATGACTATATGCTGCTGCATACTATGTATTTGTCTACTCTGGAAGTCTAATTATCTAGCCATGTGCTTTAGTAAGATTCACAACAGTGGCAGCATTAGAAGCAAAACAAAATTTACCTGTCAAAGAATGATATTTACAAGCTCTGTAGATTTACTGCTCCTAACACCTGAACTCTGTTCTCTGGACTGTTTATACTTTAATGGTGAAGAAGCAAATGGCAATTCTTTCAACAACCAAACACTTCCTAACTTCTGCAACATCAGAACCTCATGATGTAAGATAAATAAAAGTGTAAGGAAGCTAGAAAGAGGGTGAGTCATTTGGAGAAATGGACAAATTATGGAACACACAAAAAAATTGTTTGGTCAGCAACTATACAACCAGTTATGCAAGTACTCTAAGGTTACTGAAGTATTTACATTTCACAAGTGAGGAAATGAGATTTACAGATGTAGGTTGTGCATTACATGAGACCAAAATGAGGAAGAATAAGGAAAATACAACTGAAGCGGAACCAGTTCCTAAGTAGCCACACACATAGCCAGATGAATTCACAGTGACTAAGTTTTTCTTCTTTCCACATTTGCGAACAAATAAAGGCTGTAAGTAGAAAATACAATCATGATTTGTCACACTGTCTGGAGGACTTTGGGTCCATAAAGGCAATAAATGCAGAGGTAACTAGCAGATAAAATATAGCAATTTAGCTTGTTTTTTACAACTTCACACTTCCTGGATGAACAACATAGGTGTGTTTTACAACCCCACTCAGAGACAATAACTTGACTGGAACTTCCTCATCCTACACACCAGCAGGATTCGAGGTTCATTAGACGTTATGCTGAAGTGAGATTGTGCAAACACTCTTTAAGCTTTGGTGACAATGTAGCCGAGTTACATCAGGAACTGGAAGTATAACAGCAGCACGCAGGTGAACTACAAGAAGCCCAGGCATGTTTGTCATACAGATCTGTAGCACATATGCAGAAATTCATCTGCATATACTCTTGTTGCTTCAGTACAGGGAAGCATTAAAAGCTCAGACTGCAGAAAATCTACTCGACATGGAAGTTTATTCGATTGAAGACCCAGCACCAATCTATGTAATTATATCATCTTTTACCAGGGTTTTACACTTCTTTAAAAGTACTAAATAAATTAATTCAGACACTTGAAAATGCTATGTACAGTGTATTATGTTACATTTATGTAACTGCAACAACTTGTTAATATAGAAATCAAGAGATGATCTGGATGATGATTATTTCCCAAGACAGACTATTCTAATAATTAATTTAGTATATTTCATAGCATCTCATCAGATTCTGAGCACATGAAGAAAATACCTCTTAAATTACAATCATGTGTGATCTATCAATTTCCCACATTTTTAAATAGTCACATTCTCAGACCAACATATAAAAAGTGTAAAATTTGTCCTGCACTTAATGCTAAATTGGCATATTCTAGAAGTAGCCAAAGGCTTCAGTATTAAGCAAGATACTACAACACAAGAAATATAATAAGATTTTCTAAGAATAATAATTACATGAGGAGAATTTTTTTTTACTGATAAATGTTGGTTTACCAGTTAATATGTTGAATAATGAAGTTGGTGAAGATTTCATATTTATTCTACTCTGTACAAAAGGTACGAATAGAATTATATGACTTAATACCCAAATGTAAAACACATACACTACAAATTGTTTACACTCCCCATCTCCCACTGATGTCTGAAATGTACTGCTCTTCACAGTCAGAAATTTGGCTTTTTCTCCCCCCACCTGAAGCAAGGCCAGAAATATGAAAAAAAACCCCACAAACCCACCCCAAATCTGGTTCTGATGCAAACCTGAAATCAAATCTGATTTTAAAAACTGTACAGTATTTATATCACTTTTAAAAATGCAGAGCAATTACAGATCTAGACATAATAAGATTCTTTTTTTGGTTGGGATATACTTTTCAACTGTGTTCTAACTTACAAATTTTACCTGGGACTACTGAAGTGTTTACATGTCCTTGCCAATATACATACCACTTTATCCTGAATTTGCAAAGCTGACTGTTGTAACAACAAATCTTCCTTCCACTGTCCAATATCATACTTACAAATATGGGGGAGTAGGCTGGGGAATCTGTCCATGAGATAAATACAAAGGCAGATTATGCTATTTTTGCAGTCAGAATACCAATACCCTTTAAATTTCTAGGGTGGAACCATGGTATTAGTATTGTCAAAATACTTCCAGTGGAAGAGAATAAACAGTATGAGAGTTGGCAAAGGTAATTATAGTAATTTATTGAAAAAAACCCATACATCATTATGTAGCCAGTCTAACAATCCTATGAAATAACACACAGAAAGTCACTTTGGCAATGTGCTTCTCGTACATTAAATTGATCAATTTCAGGTAAAAGGCTTGATTTTTTGAAATGTCTTTTAAAGGAAACTTAATTTCAGTCTGTCAAAATGTGTAAACTTACAGCTAAGTATATGAGGGGAAGAATTCAGTCAGGAAAACACTGACAAAGTAACAGCGATTGAGAAGTAACCCTTGGGTAATCTGTTCCCTTTTACATGGCTCCTCTTTTGAGATACTTTATCTTCAAAAGGAAGAAAACCATAAAATAATCACCATGGCACATCTCAAGCTGTCTTTTCAGTGTTCTGGGATTGACAACAGGTCATCTAATACACTTTTGAAGTACTGTCACTCTGTAATGAAGAGACAGGAGTTTGTTCCATGGATACACATGACTGCAATGCATTTGTTCATCTTTATCCAGGAGTACCACTGCAAATCTAAATGCAGCCTGTAGCTGTGTGACTTTGTCCTTCTCTTTCCTTGTTTTTCTTTTCCTCTTAAAGACAGTTTCCTCATGCCCAGGAGCTCTCACACTGTTTACAATGCAGCACTCCCTGTAGGACACAGGAACTTCTAATGAACAGAGAAAGTTGAAAAGGGCTTTTATTTTCATTCTAAGGCCTTAATCTTCATCACTTGAAGGACAGTGAGCTGCATAATCAAAATCAGGAAACCTGACGGGCAGTTCTCCCCATTTCTTAAAAATTTGCTTTGTTGTTTTCTTGTCTGCAAACACAACCACAAAATTTCTAATCTTCAGACAAGGTAGGTCAAGGCCTCGGTGAACCATCATATTTCCCCAAGCCTGCAAGTATAAGAAAATTACATTTCAGATAAAATAGACAAAATCATTAGACAGAAATAAATACAACAACAAAATAAGAGTAAGAAAATAAGATGTTCCTCACTTGTCCACAATCTTTACATATAATTTCCCCATTTGTCTGGTAATCGGCATGCTTATCTTGCAGTGTCTTATTTTCTCTTGTATGGTAAAGGTTTCTGAAAAACAGTCAGACAGCACCCATCAGAATACACTGGTCATTCAATGCTACAAACACACAGTGACTACAATTGCTGAAGACAGATATGAAACCTAAAAAGTCATAAACTCTCTAACTGTTGTGTACATTGAGGAGCTGGAGAAAATGCAAGGTCATACTTCATGCTCCTACATAACGATGAAATACATGTATATTCCATGTCTCTTTTCACTGCATTTCAGGTGCTGCATCCTCCCTCACACATCTAAAGTAGGAGCAGAAGACTCTCTGTTATAATAGGAAACAGATCTAGATAATTTTTTTCAGGTGCCATGGAACTGTCAAAGAAATAATACCTGAAAGTTAGAGGTTTTCTTTTTACTCCCTGTAGTTCTACGTTAGCCCTTAACAAAATGATTTGGATCTAACTCTCCAGAGCTGCAGGGTATGTGCACATTCTTGCATCATTTTATTTAGGGAGTACTTGATCTTGATGATTACTATTAGCCTATGCAGAGGAGCTATAAGAATTATTACCTTGTATTTGAATTATCAGTTAACATTATGCTAACAAGACAATTTCACAGAAAAACACTTCAATATTTAGGGCTGCAGCTCAATTTTAATTTTTCCAATATGTAGGTACTCATTTCTCATACCTCTTCAAAAATCTTTACAAAATATACCAGTGATACATCTCAAAGAAACGAGAACTTTGGTGGGCAGTATCTTGGTAGGATGGAATGGTAGGATGGTCTCTGTTATGTAATAGTAAAGTACATCTGACCTGGCTTGTATGATACCCATTACAAATTTACTGTAGTAAGTAAATGCAACTTAAGTTGAATTAAACTGTTTTCTTGAATTCTTAATTTGCATTATAAGTGGGACCTGCTGCCATCAGGTCACTGAAAAGTTTAACAGAGTTTAACATAAATGGCTTTATGAGAGGAAAGTCCTGCTTACCAAACCTGATTTCCTTTTATGACAAGGTACCCCACCTGGTTGATCAAAGGAAGCCAGCAAATGCAATCTTTTCAGATTTCAGTAAAGCTTTCAGTACTGTCTCCCACAGGATCCTTCTGGACAAAATGTCCAGCACACAGCTGAGTAAACACATCATGCAGTGGGTGAGCAATTGGCTCACAGGTTGAGCATAGAGGGTAATAGTGAATGGAGTAACATCAGACTGGTGACCTGTTACTAGAGGAGTTCTGCAGGGCTCCGTCTTGGGCCCTGTGCTCTTCAACACCTTCATAAATGACTTGGACGCAGGACTGGAAGGGATACTAAGGAAGTTTGTAGATGACACAATACTGGGAGGAGCTGTTGACTCCCTTAAAGGCAGAGAGGTACTGATCTCTTCTCTGTGGTGACCAGTGACAGAACCCAAGGGAGTGGCCTGATGGTATGTTATGGGAGGTTTAGGTTGAATATCAGAAAAAGGTTCTTCCCCTAGAGGGTGGTTGGGTGCTGGAAGAGGCTCCTCAGGGAAGTGGTCACAGCACCAAGCCTGACAGAGTTCAAGAAGCATTTGGATGATACTCTCAGGCACTCTCCTGTGTGATACTCTCCTGTGCAGGGCCAGGAGTTGGACTTGATGATCCTTGTGGGTCCCTTCCAACTCGGCATATTTTGTGATTCTGTGATTCTGTTACCAAATTAGATAGCATCAGAAGCATCACTAGGAGAACTAAAAGGGGTGTGTCACCAGTGTGAACATCCTCTAAATACACAATTGTCAATGCCCAGGATGTGGCAGTATGTTATTTGAGTACCTGGCCATAGGCAAACTCTTATCCCAGGTCTGTTAGAATTGTAAGACCACTTACACTGCAGAATACATACCATACTACATATTACCACAGAAACTGTATCTTTTTTTCAGAGTTTCAAACTCTATTCACCTTGAATCAGGGGTAAGAACAAACACTTCATTCAAACTCCTTAACTGTAAATTACATAGAGCCTAGGACCTGACAATATTGGAATAATCTTTTTTTTTCTCCCAGGGCCTAGAGGGTTACAGGCTGTTTTAGAGCCTTGCTGAAAAGAAAATCTGTTTCTGCCTGAAAGAGATAAAGTAGTTCATAAACACTTACTGGAAATCTTTTTTCACACTGACATGATGCATGTACTCAATAACTTGTATGTCTTCTCCAGAACATATCGTTTTGTGGCAATTTTTGCATAAGAATGTTATTAGTGAAGGATTTTTCTTGTATGTCTTGCGCTGATCTTTCTTTGCCTTCATTTGTTTTTCCACTATACTTTGCAACTGGAATTTCTGAATCTAGAAACAGATCAGTAAGACCACTGTAACATTCTGGTGGAATGACAGCAACAGTTTTCTTTTCCAGTTATTTTACTGAGTTCACTGACTTCCAGTCAATTTTCCCGACATGTGTTTCCCCCCTTCCCAAAAGAAAACCAGACCTTTCTAAAGGACTAGAAAACACAGATTATAAAACAAATACTTACAGAAGAATTCAAAGCCATATGTAGTAACTAATATTATTTTAAGTTTTCCTTCTCTAAGTAGATTTCAAATAGAAAGTATTTCATATAATATAAATTAGTCTTCTTTAAAGGGAAAGTGCAGAGTTGTAGTAAATACCTTATTTAAATACTCTTCCTGTGGCATCTTCTGGACACGCTGAATGGCCTTATACATCATTTTCTCACGGAAAATATTAACATCTTCACGTTCAACAGCTCCTGAGCCACTCGGAGCCACAAGAGCATAGGTGCTCTCATCAGCTCGAGCTCGACCACGAGCCTACAATTTGCAAGCAATGCAACAATAAACAGCACAATGTTCCCTATGAGATCACACAACATTTTTTCCTAGTTTCATGGTGGAGGACATGTATTATTCCTTATGCAGTGTCCCCAAAGAGCATTTTTTTTTCTATTTATCTCAGACAGATAAAGGATCAGTGAATAACATATAGTGTTTCTGCATTATCATCAATGATACCTGTGAAAACTGCTCAGAGATTTGTGATTAGCACATTTTGCAACGCATAAACTGTATTTTGTCACCAAAATATAAACATGCATTTAAATATTAAATATATAAATATTTGTGCTCACAAGTTAAATGAGAGCATAGTCAAACTGATATTCTGATATGTAATTATCTCTTTTTAGCTGCTGGTGGTTTGGTATACATACACTGGTGGTACAAATGTCTCTGATATCAACTGGTCTGATGATCATATTCTCATACCTTTTCTACTAAAAGAGCTTACTGTTTATGTAGAACTTTGAATGGATGCTACACCATTAAAACATGGAGGCAAATTTTATATTGCCTACAGACTGAGGGTGGCAATTGGAAATGAACCTTGTTGCAAGAGTTTTCTCTTTTAGCCCTCAAACATTTCAAAATTATTTCCAAACACCAGGTATATGATTCACCATTTGCACATTCCAAACAGAAAAGCACTATTAAAAATAAGTTGTGTGTGCACAAAACTCATACCTGCACCATAGCAATTTCATTAGTGACAAGGCCATAGCGAATAACGATGTTACACTCTTTGATGTCCAAGCCTTCCTCAGCTACAGTAGTAGCAATAAGTAAATTTACATTTCCACATCGGAATTTATCAATAACTTCCCTTTGCTCATTCTGTAAATATTTAAAAAAAAAAAAATCAGTATATTAACTTTCAGTAGTAGTTTCTTTTTTCAGTAACAAGTTTCAGTAATTATAATCCCATCATTTCCAAGTTCAGTGTCAAACATCATGTGGCTTTAACAACTGCATTTAAGCACCTTGCAAGATCACAAATGAGGAGTTCCTTTTGAATATAATAGGTGTTTAGCATCTTTTTTTGAGGGAGAAGGGAGCAGAAGCCAATCTTTTTAAGGTAACTGAGCTTGGGAGTTTGTAGCCTATGTCACAGGTACTAGGAGATTTGACAATATAGTTGTTCTATTGTTTTTAAAGTCTTTAAATACTTATTCAAAAGTCTGGATTTCTACCACTTCAGTCATGTCCAATCAAAGGATAGGCTTCTAAGTCTAGTTCCAAAGCACTTAAAATTCCCCGTAATAAATGGAGATAATAATTTTAGTGATCTAGGGAGCACCAAAAAGCACAACAATGATACAATTAAAAAAAAAAGCATCCAAACAATAGACTTCTGAATCAGCTGGGTATTGTCACCAGCTTGAGCAGAGGGACAGAATCTTGCTATTTGCTATATTCAGTTTCAAAATGCAGAAGCTATTGTTTTCTTTATGCAATGTGGGCTACAAATTAAATTCCAGGTTTCCATGGAAAACAAGCAACTTTTTGAGGGAACAATTCCTAACTTTTTTTTTGAAACTGAGAGCAGCTGAAGAAAATGGGCTCTGCCCAACAGTAAACCACACCATTTTTGCTTAAAAGCTGAAGTAGCAATTTTATGGGAGTAAAGAGTAGAATAGAAGAGAGGTTTCAGGATACTGATGTACTTTGTTTTAAAAATGTTTGAATTGCAAGTGGTGTATGAAATCAACACAATGGTACAAGACAAACACAATTGAGTGTTCAATTGTGATATTTTCATTATGAATTTTGGCAAGTTATGGTTATGTCTCAGTGTGAAGCATGCATATAAATTGGTATAATTTGATTAAGCAATGGTATTAGAAAAAGACAGGCATAATCAACTTTGTAATTTTATTTTTTAATTCAGTAACTAAAATATCATTTTAAATACTGTTGTACTGATAAGTATAAACGCATTTTAGGATTGCATTTTTTCTCTTTCCATTTTGTTTACTTTTCCTTTATATGCCTCACTATAGCTTGTGTCCCTTTTGACGATATACTACTCTAGGCAACGGATGCTGATTACTCCTATTGCCATAGAATCCATAACCAAAAAATCCTTGTTTCTTTTGGAAATAAAATTATTCCAACATTATTATTCACCTATCCAGCAGCTTATGAAGGTAAGTTGCTAGCAAGTATGAAACCAGAACTCTAAGCTCCATTGGTCTAGTACTAAACCAAGCTGTTTTCTGAAATCATGTACAAGATGCAATGTTGAAATGTATGGTTCTGTACCTGAGTCATGGGTTTCATTTCACTGTTATGTCCAGAGCCGATAAGATAATGGGCCTTAATTCCCACTTCTTTAAATTTTGGGTTGTCTTGAATCCACTGGAATAGAGCAAAGGCACTTAGACGAGTCTTTGTGAAAATAATTCCTCTAGGTTCCTCAGTCTTCGTGAACTCCTCCATTAAAGTATTTCTCAACTGTATTAGATTCTCATTTTCATGTTCTGGCTTTCCAGCCAACTTTTTCAGCAACTTCTTTTTTGCTTTAAAAATAACAGATGTAAATTAAGAAAAAGTAACCATGTAAAATTACAGCTCTAGAAAAAACCCACAAATAACAAAGCAAGGAGCAGCTTTCTATATAATACTCTCAGCATGGCTAATTCACATTCAGTTTGAAGAACTGTGGCATACCAGTTATTTTTGAAATGAGTTAATATGCATTAAAAACACACTAATCAATCAAATAAATTACCATTATTGTACACTATATCTCATGGTGAGAATAAATCAAAGGAAAAAACCTTTCTATACAAAAGAAGTGGTACAGTTAAGTGCACTGTATTAAAGGGCTAAATACCAGCTTATATTTCCAAAATAATTTTAAAATAATGGAAAAAAGACTTACAAGAAGAAACAGATTAATATGCACAGCCTCAGAGCTGATAATGTTTTCATAAATTTAGACATAAATTGTCCTTGGGACATTAATTAAAGAAGGAATCCTCACTAGAAACATGTAATATAGTAGATAGCAGAATGAGCACATTTTATGGGTATTGCAGCTCTTAGATGTTTCAATATACTCAATATAAATGAATGAGACTCTTCAAATGGCTCTACTGACCATGAGCAGGGAAGATTCCTCATGTGTTCTCATTTTTAAAAACACTTCTAATATTTAAAAGTCTAGGTCATTGTCAGATGATTATGTAAACTCAGCAAGAATACTTTAAGGTGGGGGCCTTGTGTGTTACTACTCTCACTGATGTCATCACCCTGTGCAGATTATTGCAGTGCACCTAGTCCAATGCAATTGTACTCAACGGCCATAAACTACAACACCACCTAGAGAGTGGCTTTCTGACTAGTCTTATTCATATTTTAGAATGTAATCAAACATATAGAAAGCCATACAAAAAGTAGGTAGATATAACAAACTCCCACAATTTTCCCCTTAGTTAAACTTACACTAATGTCTCCAGGGAGTTTATCCCCCAAAAATGAATTTTGCTCTAAAAAGATGAAAAATTTTAGTTTTTCTTCTATTACTCCTGTCACTTTCAGTGGTAAAATCATAACAAACTGGAATATAATTTCTTTGAACTTTGTTTACCTGTGGAAATAAAAACAATCTAGAAAACTCATTTTCATTTTTAATTAGTTTAACTTTTTGGTTCTTAGAAACAGCTTAGTACTGAAATTCTAAATAAGGGGGCATAAAGAAAGTATGAAGAGTTATTAAAAAAACACACTGACATTATATGACCTATTTTTATAAGTTTTTTTCAACAATTCCTGAATTTCTCAATGATCACAGTCTAAATTTGAAAAAACAAAAAAGATTCATGAGTCAAGGACTGAATGAATCCCAGTTCCAAGGTGAATTATCTGAGAAAAAAGGCAACTAACTTTGGTATGTGAGGTTTTATCCTTTGTTTAATTCTCTCACTAAGTGCTCTTTACCTGAAACTAACTCAAGGTCATCACTCCTATTTCTTAGTACACAAAAAAATTTGGTAGAAAGTGTTGGTTAAGAACCCATCACTTCATTACTTTTGTATTCCATTTGCTCAACCTTTTGCCCCTCAAGAGTGTCTACTGGAATACACGTTTTATGTATCTGTCAGTTTCCTCAGGGACACTTCCTTGGAGGAAAGCAGAGAACAGTTTTTACTTACTGGCAGCAAAAAGAAAGAGCCCTTAGGCCAGAGCTGAGGAACTTCTATTACACGTTGTGACATGACCCCACTTTGGTGTTGTTTAATGTGTTCAAAACTGTATGAACTGGGACATCAAGGTACTGTCATAATAAACAGCACAGCAATCTCTAGGATGTAATAACTAATTGGCCCATGCAAACCATGCTAGTACATAGTTATGGATTTCAAATATTAAATATCACAATGTATTTCAAACTTACTATGAAATAAACCTATTAGAAATTCATCTGTTTCATCCTGTTTTGATACAGCTGGTTCATCATCATCATCATCGTCATCACTCCTTACTGTCTTTTTACTTTTCTCCTCCTTATAAAAGTTATTTAGGTGATTGTATGCATCCACCATTCGGATACTGTCATTTATCAGGAGAGCATCATTGTATTTCTTCAAGTGTTCTGCACAGACACGTTCCTTGCGTTTTTCTTCTTTTGCAGCTAGAAGTGAAAAAAATACAAAACCACAAAAACATGTCTGTGTATAGAATGACCCAAAGAAATCCAAAGCTGGGGTATATTTGCTATGCAGTTACCTCTTCTCTCTTCTCTGATCACCCACTGTTCATATGTCTGAGTTCCAAACTCAGATTTTGGATGGAACTGGCAATAGTTTTGTATTTCTGTCATGATCTCAGTAATTTCCTCTCTAAATGGATCCTAGAAATAAATTGATTAGCAAGGTAAGTAAGCATCTTCTGGCAACAGAACTATTTGCCAAGTACCACACTGAGTAATTTTTTAAAAAGTTAACCCTCCAATCAAAAAACAAGTAAGGTTGTTGAATGCATTTAGTTATGGAAACATGTAGTTCACAATATTAAACGAATTATATTGTGAAATCACACTTTTTAAACAGAATATAATGTCACTCCAATACAAACATATCAACTATGGTTCAGAAGGTCTTTTTGACCAGACACTTCAAAAATATAACTGACATAAGTAAAAAATTAGCTCTATTTAACTTTACTGATACTTTTCCATACAGAGGAAAGCAACAATATTCAAATTAGGACTATGGATCATCAAAAGTCTATAGAAAAAGAGCATTGGGCAAAAGGTTTCGATACCATACAACATCCTTTTAAAGAGAAATACAACTTTAATACTGATTTGTTTGAAAAAACTTACCCTTTTTTTGTCATTTGCAACCACAGTCTTCTTGGACGGCTCCTTCACCTGATTCTTTAACTGGTCCTCATGCTCTTCAACAGTCATAATTCTACATGCATCAAGATTGGCACAGATCTGGGAGAAAACCAAATGTTATTTCTTTAAATATTGAATGAGTTATTCCACATGAAAACTGAATTAATGCAACAGGGTTTCTTATTTACATATTTATATAACTTGATTATCTTCCTAAAAAAATTGGATAGAGGCCCTATCAGCATAAGAAAGGCCAAGTCTTTGAAAAGGATTTGAGATAAGCTGCACAAGTTAATTTTTAGGCATGAAAAATGATCCTTGCATACAGGAAAACATTTGTAGATCAGAGTGGAAAACAAGTATTTTGAAAAGGAAAATATAGCATCAGTACTTTGGAAGAGTAGATTTTGGAGCACAAAATAAATAAAAACAATGGTGAAATTAAAAAAAAATAAAAAAATTTCAGGATTAATTGTAAAAGTAAGACCTGTTATGAGACTAGAAAATAATTTGAAATTATGATTCTTGGAACAGGAAGGCAGAGAACATTTCTGTGCTAACTGCACAACGGAACTGGACTTTTCTGCTTTTGATCTCCTACAAGGAGAAAATACATACATGTCTGTCATTGAGTCTCAAGTAATAAGGGGAAACCTTACGATTTTTATGAGCAGAGAAAACAAGAAAGGAAGTCTGGCAGATAACCTTTGTAATGTCTTCAGCTGTAGTTATCTATTTCAGTTTGCATATTTGGATTACATTTCTTTAGATACAAACCCCAGCATCCTATCATTAGGATTTCAGAGCTGATGAAAAGGAGTTTTCTCCTTTTTCCATTGAAAGTAAGTTTTGCCAAAATACCTCACAATTCTACCTACTTTAATACAGAATAAAAGCTTCTTGTAGGTCTCACCTATTCAATATCACATTCTGTTCTTGTGCAAGTTACTAGTCAGGAGATTTCACTGGAGTCTTTTGTATTACTGGGCTTTTGTATCACTGGCCTTTTGTATTACTAATGTAAATCCAATTAATTCCAAGTAAAATATAGTTTCTTTAAGTATAGAATTTAACAAATTATCTCTGTTCTGGTGTTCATGTAACTCCACAACACTCCCCTCTCAGTGAGTAATTCTAACTGAAAAAAACAAAACACTGTGCTACCTGTATCTCACAAGTGGTTTCTGCTTTGTATAAGTATTCAACATTGTTTTTCATTTTCTTGGGTCCACACAAAAGCTCAGCTTAGTCCCTCTGGATATGCAGGTATAAAATACATCATCTGTCTAGTGTTTAGGAATACACAGTAAATTATAATCTATCAATGGAAAAATAAATTTTTTAGTAACTATAAAACCATACTACCTTTTGGATTTCTTGCCCTGATCCTAACTTCAGAATGTTTTTCAAGCGAGGCAATCTTTTTACTTCCCTTTTCAACAATCCTACTTTCCTGTAATGTAAACTTTATTTGTGTGTGAATTTCCATTAATTTGTAGTGGGTCAATTTTCTGAATGGCTATGAGCTGAACTTCCATGTACACATGAAAAAAAAATTAGATTGTATATTTGGAGCCTAACGCTGACTTAAAAAGTTCTACTTGAACAAGACAATGTCCCTTTGATGGTTTGCAAGTGTGAGGGCTATTTACTTTCAGAATATGGTCTTCAGCTTTTGAGTACGATTTTGCACCTCCTACACCAGGTGAGGCTGTAAGTCCCAGAATCTGAGGTTGTGGGATCAGTGGTTTGTTTTCTTTTGCCAGCTTCCTGTTCTTCATCTTTTCTTTTAAGTAACGACGCATTATATTGTTGTAGACACCTTCCTTCTGAGTGTGATGACACTCATCAATAATGATAAGGGAAAAGTCTGGAAAAAAAAAAGATGCTTAAAATTAACGATTTTATTTCAAATGTAGAATTTGTGTGACTAAATCTTATAACAGGTAAGGATGGTGTTGACTAATTAATGTATTAGGAAATTGTAGTGCTGGAGGAAAGTGTGGATGGAAGCTGTACATATTTAATGGACTTTGGAATCTTTGCTGCAGTCCTGATATGTCAAGTAGTTTCCATTTCATGTAATGGAAAAAGCTGTTCTATTTTTTGCAAAACAAATCTGATGATACAAAGAATTTCAGAGAGGTATTTTTAATAGCTTGTGGTAAGAACATATAGCTGAACTCAATACCATCTTTTAAATCATAACTATATCTGACAAATTACATACTGTTTGTTTATGAGAAGATATATAACGTGTTAGAAGCATTTCAGACATTATTGAAAGGCTTGTTGTGGTCCAAATACACTTCCATTTTGTAGCAACACAGAGATTTCCTTCCTATTTGTGTCCAATTAGAAGATTCATATTACTTTACGGATGTGCTATTGCAAAGAACAAACAGATTAGTGGGAGCACTACCACTCATCTCTCTTTTGTAGTAGAGGAAACTAATGAAGATTCAGAGAGGTTTTATGTGCATTTTAGTCAGATCATATTTACATGCAACAAGTAATGTACTATACAATAAGGAAAAATAAGATTTTTTTTTATTTTAAATGTCTCAAAAATATAGAAAACATATCTTTAATCCATCTGCACATGCAGCCAGTGACATATATTTCAATGTTCTGATTTGAAACACTCATGAACATTTCTCTCTTTCTCTAGCAGCAAAACTGGTTTATGGAGCTCCCATTATTTCTGTACCTGGCCAATAACTCTCTAATTCAACATAGTTTCCAACAATTTGAGGAATGTTTGTGGATATGACTGTAAAGAAGGTCACAGAAATGATCAGGTTTAAATACTCATATGTAGGTTTTTTTAATCTGGACAATTGCCATGGTTTTGTTTACACAATGATGTGCTCGAACTGTTGCATCACTACAAATGAGTTTGCAACAGCTGGTAGCAGAAGTTGAAAACTAACAGAGAGCTAGATCAGTCTCAGTAAGCCTTTCTGTGAAGAACATAAAGAAAGGTGGAGACTAAAGAAGGGAAGTTTTATTTAAAGGCTACACCAAAGACTACCGCTAGGAAAGCAAACCAGTGTTCCACATCACTGGGGAAAGCTGATTGTCTTCACACAAGTGATCATGAAGCCAGTTTGGACTGGTGTGATGTAGTTTCAAACCTAAATTCCTATTTATTTCTAAGATTTATACATATTGCAAGACTTCAGAAGCAGTACTAGCAGTTTCTCAGTTATTTTGCCAACATGAACTTACTCCCTTTGATTTCGACCATTATGTCTGTAATGCATATTCCTATAATTACTTGTGAAGAAACTAGAAGAGATGTGTTTCTACTACAGAAGGTGAACATAGCTTTTAGAAAGTCCACACAGTGATTTTAGACCTTGGCAAAAAGGGTAAACATTTGGTAAAATACAATTAAGAGACCCCCCCCCATTGCACTAAGGCTGGAATTCCACATAACATGTAATGCAGACCTCTGTGGAAACAGATGAAAAAAGAAAGCACAGAAATTTGGAATAAAAAACTTATAACTAATTAGGATGATTTATATAGGCTGCAAGTTAACCAAGTCACAGCCATAGAAATGGAGCTGGCTGTGTTCATGCTTTCTTGGCTTTGGTCCAGCTAAGCTTCCTAGCACAGGTGTAATAGCACAGAGGAAAAAAATGAGGTGCAGGGCCACCTCAGCTCTGGAAAAAATGTAGCTCTCTATGAAGGAAACTTGGCAAGGTGTGCAACACATTCAAAACCCATTTCGTTAGACAAGCTGGTTGGGACACAGCCCAATTCTAAACTGGTCAGCAGTTCCAGTATAAATGTTCGGATGCCTCTATACAAGATTACAAAGTTATTCAGATTTAGGAAAGTTTATTAACTTAGGTGCAGTGGAAAGGAAATAAGAATAAGAAAATCTCTGGTACTCTGCCTAGGTTAATAACAAGGCATTCTGAAGGAGGAGAGGCAATTCTGATGTCCCCAAGTGGCTCTGCAGGAGTTACTTTGGATCAAGCAATACTGCAGTCAGCACTAGGCACTGACAGACACAGACTGACCCTCAGGTTTCTCTGCTTTCTCTGTAACACCCAGACTAGCACTTCTTTTATCTCAGGTCCATTATTTTGAATATTATAGCTTTCCCCTCAGCTACATCCTGCCCCATCTAAAAAGGATTTGATTGCATGCAAATAGAGGGAGAAGTTAACTTCTCACAGAGGAAGGTCACTGCAGCCCAGATCCTGGAGCTGAAGTCATCAGCTGTTCCATTATATGTATGTCACTGGCACATAATACCACTTTTTTTCTGATCTCCCATAGATACCTGTCACTTTAGTATTCTGGGAAAACAATCTTGCCTCGTTTATATTTTGTTTTCAACTTCCTTCATCTGTTGTAGGAAACTATTACATCTGCCAAGCTCAGAGAGACAGACATTATAAGTAATATCACTGTACATCAGCAAAATTTTAAGAGTTTAAAGAATACTACTTTTACAACAGATTGGCTTTTATCTTGTGTTCCATTGTACTTCTCAAACTACAAACTACATTTGAGTTTTTATCATGTTTTTTCTCATCCTGTTTATGGCTTCTATGTGATATGGCTCAATGCTCTACCAAGCTTGTAAAGTGGAACCAGTACGACTGTAAATGCATGAATTTGTGCTTGAGTGGGATAAAATAGGAAGCATAACAAATATTTAGTACAAATGAACTATAAGAGTCTAATTTTGGCTTGCAAAAATTGCATGCTCATTAATTAAGATCTGGTTTTGACTTCTGCTTGCATTTATTAAACGAGTAAATTGAAAAAACCTACTGAATGTGACACATTTTTACTCTGCAATTTTCCAGACTAGAGACATACTTTTATTCCTTCTGTAAAAGTTTCAGAATTAAAAACTTGCCTGATAAGTGGACACCTTCTTCATCTTCTTTGTCTGCATTTATCAGTGAATTCTCAAGGATTTGTGCTGTACTGATGATGACATCATTTCTTCTGACAACTTCAGGAAATGAGATTTTCAGTTGAGAATCACCACTTAAACCAATAACCTGATACCAACGCTTCAGGAATGGATGAAACTCTGATTCTAAATGCTGTTGTACCAGTGGTACCTGAACAAAAGTTTCCAAAGAATTTAAACCAGAGCATACACAGGATTAAAAATACATGCCTGTTTGCCAGAAATGTTGTTAGTCGAATAAAACAAAACAAAGCAGTAAAAATCCCCAAACCTATTTCTCCCCTCCAGCTTCTCCTGTGAAACTTTTTTTGTCCCAAGAAACTTGGCTTATCTGTGTCTGAGAAAGAATGAACAAGCCATGCATGCTCTGGCTCTTTAACTGAGCTTATAACATGCTATAAAATTTATTCTTATAAGAAGATATGGATACTGTTTATTATTTCAATAAAGTTCTTAAATGTATTTCTATATTTTAATATTACAGTAGAAGATTAATTTATATGTGCTAAATTTAACTGTAAAAATTACAGCCACTATCAGAAAATCTGAAAAAATATTCCTTAACTACTGTGAGACTCATTAGATGGCCTTCATTACCAAACTGAAACACAAAATGTGAAAAATATTTTTATTTTTTAAAATTCATTCCAATTTGAAATTTTACTTTTTAAAATAATGTGGTTATTAGGGCGCATCTAAATTTGCACTTGCAGTGGGGTACACTGAAATAATTTGAGCTTGCACCAGGATGATGATGCAAAGGAGATGACAGTCTAGAGCTGTGTGCCTTTAACATAGCTACATCTAGAGAAGCTGAGAATTGTGTTTATATTCATTTTACAATGTCTATATTAACAATGCATGATGTTTAAAAATTATTAGTCTTAAAAAAGTGGACTAACATACCTTATTAACAAGTACTATGACTTTTCCAGGCTCTGATGCTCTTTTCTTCTTATCCAAGTGATCTTTGGTAATGTAAACAGCCACTCTGGTTTTACCAGTGCCTGTAGGGAGACATATTATAATATTTTCCCCATTTAGTGCTGGCTTTGCAACTTCCATCTGGTAATCTCTCAGAGTCAGATCTGGCTCAGGTGAAGCTCTCCTCTCCTCTTCATCTTCATCTAAGGGTAGAAAGAAATATGAGTATCAAACAGGAGGCATAAAACATATATCAGAATATTGAAAAAAATTTCAAAGAGAAAAATACTGATTTACTATCAAAAGTGTCTTCTGAATAAATAGAAACAGGGCATATTAGGACAGACAATGTTACTCTGTGGACCTGTGCAACTCAGGATCAGAACTGCTTATATCCAGTCACCAATCAGAATAGGTGGAATAAGCCACAGTATGTCTTCACCTGTCTATATTGACATGATTGCTATCATGTATGAATTCAAAGATACGGTTCAGTAGCACTGGGACCAACAAAAGTTGTGTTCAGAGCTGCAGTATTTATTATAATGTAGTCAAATTTATGTGACGTTCTCCTTCATCAATACTGAAATTTATTTGGTCACAAGGGAGCTACTTTTTTAAATACTTCCAAGAGTGGAGCCACAGAGAGAAAAAGAGATAGGGACCACTTAAAAATGATGGAGTTATAAAATATAAAGATCAAATAGATAAGAAAATTCAACTGCCTGTACAAGACAGAGCTAACAGCAGAATGTATCACACCTATTCATAGTAGATTAAGTTGCTCCTTAGCCTGACTCATACATAATGCAACTGAGCTGTTCATTAAAAAGCCATATACATTTGTTACCTAAGGCCAAAGTCTTCCATCTCTCATTTAAAATGCAATGGCAGAGTTTTGATCTATGGCTCACAGATGAAACAAACAGTGTTCAAAACTTAAAAGTAGAAAAATGTCGTTGAATTATTTCAAGCAGTAAGAAAAGTATATCAAGTCTCTTGAATTTACATATATTTAGGGAGTCAGAAATTATATATACCTTAATATCAGAAGGATTTATTTCAATGGAGTTTTTGTGTTTTTTTTTTTCCTCTACAAATATGTTTAGATCACCCTCCATGTATTAACTGCCCTCAGTGAAGAAAAGATACAAATTCATTCTACTAGACTAAAAATGAGAGAAAAAAACCCATATAGTTTTGTTTCCTGATATCATTTGGTGAAGAATCATGAGGATTTTATTATCACTGAGACATTACACACAAAGTAAGTATATTTTTCTAGTATTCCTGATTCCATTAAATAAAATTAAACTAACAAAAAGTAATGAAGCTTGATAAAATACTGCTGATGGAAACATCTGAATGCCATTCTTAAGTGTTTTTTGCTTGTTTTGCCTTTTAGTGTGAGTGCAGGGCTACCTGGAACGCAGGGAAATTTGCACGAGAGAGTACTTGCTGTCAATTATCTGACTTCTGCTACTCTCTTTTGAGGAAGAACGCTGTTTGCTTTCTGGTTGGCTAAATTCAATAGTTCAATCGTATTGAAACTAGCACTTTATCACCCATCTGTTTGGTTAAATTTCAGTTCCTTAACATCCTCAATTAACGGTCTAGGCCTAAAAAATATTTAACTTAGCTCTCTCCTAACTTCCTCAGCCCCTGTTTAGACAAAGGCTCACACAGGAATCTTTTTGCAGATTAAAAAATGTAATAATTAAAGGATTTTCATAATGCACAGTTTAACTTTAGAGAAGTTGTCTGCCCTTGTACAAGGCTCATATGAATTGCTAATTCCATTTTTCTTAAATGTGAAATGATCCTTGCACAGAAAACTGCAACGTGATTCTTTACATTAAAATCCAAATCATATCAATGTATTAAGACACCATCCAAACATCTTTGTTAATACAGCAGCCTTACTGCAAAATTTCAAATTATAAAATCCATAAATATCACAAAGTTCATCTGCATCTCTTTAGCAGATGCTTAGTTGTTCTCACTGAGTTTACTAGGCATGATTAAAAAGTGTGAATGTTTTTAAAAACTTTTTAACTAGTTGTTTTTAAAGCCCACATGTAAACAGAACATGTAGAAAGTAAACATTGGAGAAAAAATCTGTTCTGCATTCTTCACCAAAGTGTAGTGATTTTTTTTTTTTTTTTTTTTAGTGCTAGTTACTAGACATAGCAAATGTCCAATTTACTTAATGGGAGAATTTCAGGAATCTTAAAGTATCAGGCCACACATATATATGTGCAGCCACACACCAGTAGCCTGGATTGACCTGACCAACTGATACAGTGTGACCACCCCCAGAACAGAGAAGTTTCCGTGCCCAGACATTTCATGTGACACAAGGAAAAAAATACAATGTGACTTATGAGTCTCCTCAGTTCATGCAGAAGTGTAAAGTGTATTCTGAGGAGTTAGCAATATGTAGACTAAAATCTTAGCTAGAGTGTAGCAATTTAGATCTGAGCTACCCTGAATTTTTTGTGTACTTATAGATTATGTGGATTTTAATATTTAAAAAGCTTGAAACTATTTTAAAAGTATTTATAGTAAGCACTTTGCAGGCATATGATATATAACATTTACACGATGTTTATAGGTTTATTAGGCAGAGCTGGCCTGAAAGGTACCCAAATTGTTTCTAGCTTTTTTACAAGACACAGTCCCAATACAAATTTTAGAAAGGATAGATTCCAAAGAGTAGCTTTTGAATTCTGTGTAGGCAAACAGGCTGTTCACCATGGTGGGCAGCTGCAAATTTGTTCTGTCTGAGGTCTAAGATTTGAAAAAAAAAAAAAAGAAGAAGAAAAAAATATTGGGATGTCATTTACAGTGTTTAATTAGGCTCAAACTATACATAGCACGATAATACCTGTCTGCTAAGTATTATGTAAACATGGCCCAATATCTAGTTTAAAACTGTATTTAAAACTTGCACATGCATTTAAATGCGGGATTTGCAAAGGTCTTCAGATAGCAACCCATTGATTAGGTTGCTTTTACAAATAGGGCTACTAAAATACTTACATAGAACGTAGACCTTCATTACTGTTCTGCAGGTACCCTGGAAATGCTTCTGCTAATGATTAGATACTTCTAAAACATGTCCTATTCCCTCTCACTTACCCTGTGCAGGGGCCAGGCGCAATCTACCTCCTTTCTGAGAGCAAAAGACACGTGTCTATGTGGCAGCATTGTGAATATCTGTACAGGTGACTGCACCGGACGACTTCTGTAAGTCTCTTCAGCCCAAGTGATTTTATCATTCTGTCTCACTGACTATTTCATATGATGACAATGTCTAGAGACCTACTCAGATGAGCTCAGTAAATCAACTCTTTTGGGGGTTAGGACTTAGGTCCAGACACTTAAAAATGGTATCTGTTTTCCAAAAAAATACGAGTAAGTCTGGCATCTAAATACAGTGAACTAGTGTTCACAGTGAAAGCCTTCCACTAATTTTTGTTCCAGACCATTCACAGAGTGCTTCCCCTCCAGAGTTTATTTTGTAATTTCTAAAGAACAGAAGGGAAACATACCTGAATCACTGGTTGTGCAGCTCTGGCCCAGGTTTTCACTGAAGTTACGGACACTTCCATCTCCTATGGAGACATCTGACTCTAAATGAAAACCACAAACAAATGTAGTATAGTATATTTGCTGTACAAATATTAATAGCAAAAGCATATTGTTTGCTTGCTCCCTAAGCTGTTAAAATAGGCTAGATGGTTATCAGGAAGGGATGGCTGAGATACAATTTTCTTTGTCTTTGGTAAAGATAAGAATCTGAACAACATAATTTTTTTTCTTATGGAAGAAAATATGCAGCGGAAGATTAAGATCCAAAACATGGCAGAGGTAAGGCAATGTGGGTTGTGATTCATCATTTGAAAGCGAGGGGCCAGACATGACCACCTGCATGATCCCCTCCATCCTCTCTATCCTCTTTTATCTTTTCAGAAGAGTGAAAATCCAAAAAAAGTTGCTTGCAAACTGAACATTCTCTTTTACTCCCTGTAAGCCGTGAGAGCTATACCTGTAGTAGAATAAAAACAAAACCAGAGCTCTGAGTTTTCTTTTTTTTTTTTTTAAGTTTCTTCATGTAACAAGGAAAGGGCAAACCATAGTTCCCAGGTAAATACAAGCAGTGATGAATTATTAAATCTTCCAAACTGTTTGCAAGCAAAAACAGAGCCTGGATGGGGCCGCCCTGACTGGGAAGTCCGCGGGGATATTCCCGTGCTGAGCTCTCCCTCTGCTGGGCGATCAATGTGTTACACTGACTTGTTTTTTCGGTCACCAGTGTAATTTAAACAGCCGGGTTTCTCCCAAATCAGTCCTCTCAATACCTAAAGAGACACGCAGTTCTTCTAGAAAAGTCTTCTTCAAACTGCCTCATCCTGAGCTTACCTTAAGGTAAGCTTAGGTCAGCTTACCTACGGCACTCTGCAACTGAGCCTACAGTGTGCATACGAAATCAGTCATTGACTGATGTTTTGCTTAATCATCTAGTGAACTTTTGTTATATCAAGTTCTTTCCAGTAAATACCCTATTATGGTCCATATCCATATTTTTCCCAATTTATTGTCCCCAACAAATAATTCATAAAGCAAGACAGATTCTGTGAATGAGAGTTTAGAACTGAAGTTACAGTGTCTTAAAAGGAGCTCCTGAAATATAACTACAAAATCTTGGTAAGTGAGGTGGAAATTAAACCTAGTCTGCATTCAGTACATTTATGAAGCTACCTTAGCTACCACTAGGAGTCAGGTATCAATAGTTTTTCTAATATAACCATGAAAAGTGATGCAAACACTTGTCCTACTGTCCTACAGTTGTCATCATTTATTCCATCAGAATCTGATCCCACTATTAATCACCATCATCTATAGGAAGTGGTATGATAGACAAGGGCATTGAAAACTTTAAACACCTAAATTAAGCCAGTCTCCTGGAAATCTGTGCAATCAACAGAAAGGCACAAAAAAGAAGAAAGCCTCACCAGTTGTAAGCCATGTTCAAAGACCTGTGACAAAACTGTTAAGTAGCATTAGTGAAAATGAAGATGATACTGCTATCTCTCATTTTTGCTTTCTAGGAATCTATATAGGATAGGAAAGAGAGGACAAAATTAAGATTCTATGTATCTATTCCATATGGTCTCCCATCTAAATGATCTAAGATGTAAAAATATGCATTCATAAGGTGTTTTGTACATAATTATCTGAATAACAACGTGCAGTATGTATGACACTATAATATCTCAACAGAAAACAACAGTGGTGAAGTGAGATGCAAAATAATCTTCTTCCAAATGAAAGGTGAATAAAATTCTCCTTTTTCAACTCTTGCCTTTCTTGAATTATTTTAAAATAAAATAAACTAAGAAAACAAACAAACAAATGTACCAGTAGGCATTTCCAAAACAATGAAGATAAAAGAGTTGATATTGTAACAGCTGTTTTCACCACTTTTGCTAACCTTCCTTTAGAGTGCTTCTTGCATATTGTAATGTAGAATATTCCACAGAAAGATTTTCAGTCATTTTGCACTGACTAATTAGTAAGTATAAAGACAATGGAATGCAATGAAAAACAAGCCTTGAAAAACAGAGCTGCTATTATTTAAATTGTTGTTTATATATGTAACTATAGCCTTAACCAAGTGTTTCACTTCTGACCTTGCAAACTTATTTGCTTTTGTGTTGTTTTGTGTGTGTGTAGTTTCTTACCTGTGTTTTTGTATGCACAATTTTTCTCTAGTTATCTCTTAGGGTAAATGATCTACTTCTGATTTGTTTTTATGACCCTGCTGCACTCATACCTTCTGACTCCCTCTGTTTCAGCTACTCAAATAAACAGGTCAGAGGAGGCTTCAGATACAATGCAAATTGGAGTAATTTCAAGTGATTTGAAAAAGCTTCTTTCTGCTTGAAATATGTCCTTTTCAAGACATGAAAGAACAGTGGGAACGTACTGCAAAACTGACAATACTTGACAACATCAAATTGCAAATCATGTGGGTTCCCAGCATACTTGGAAGTAGAATCTGGGCTCCAGTTTTCAGCTGCCTAGTTTAAAAATACAGTCTTATCAGGTCACAAGAAAGGATGGAAATGGAAAAAGAGTTAAGTGCAGTTGAGTGTAGAAGCACATAGAGATCGAAGCTTACTGCACTTCAAGATGGCTTATGTGAGCCTGTTCCTCTGCAGCCATGTCCATGCAGCACTGTCTGCTGGCAGCCCCTGTTACACTGCATCTGCTCTGCTGCTTTAGTTAAAGTCAGAAGTGCATCTGTCAATTGTCCCCACTTACACCACTTTGGTTCATATCACAGAGCTGGTTTAGATCAGAAGAAATTCATTGTCAGCTGAAACCAAATGTTTCATGTGTCCCAGCCACTTCACTTGTAGGTACACAGTCCACACCAGACTGAAGTTAATGTGAACCAAACTGATAGAATCCCTGTACTATGTACACTCTTAGGACCACTTCACTGAACAGATCTGCTCAGCTGCACAAACTGCTAATACCCATTATCTATTAATTTCAGTACAGTTCATTGCTGAGGAGACTGTAGTTTTCTGTCCAGAATTAGCTTGTGGCAGGCTAGTTAATAACTAATAGATCTAATTATCTGTAACCCTCAACCTGGCAAGAGTCAAGTAGAAGATCAGGCTAATAGCAATGAAAACCTACCCTTAGTGAGGCCCAGTAAGAGCCTTAGCCTTGCCCAGGAAGGATTCCAAGTAACAATGAGGATAATTCAGTCTAATCCATTTTGTAATTATCCTTAAATATTTGGCACCTCTTCTTTATACTGCCAAATTATGTTCTAATCCAGGAAAACCAAGCTGGTATTTTTGCTGTAGTCAATAATTCAGTATTTGCTATGAAGCATTGTGATATGCTGTTAATATTATGATAAGTGAGAAATAGGCTATTACTGTTGTACACTGAAAGGCTGCAGTTTTTCAGAGCCAATTTTTTTAAAATTTATTCATGTTTGATAAAAAAAGAGCAGCCTTAACTGTCTTACTCCTTTGGCTGAGTAAGCTCACTAGAATAATTTCAGATAGGATTTGTCTCAGTTGTAACTATTGTTCAAGTTCCATCTGAACTTGTAACACATATGAATGGCTCCTTAATCATGCAGCATATGTTTGAACCATTGGTTCCCAGCTATGTTTGGGAATTGTTGCTGCTAATTGCTGTTGCTCTTAATCAACTCCCAAGACATGTTTTTAAAAGTAGATCTGCGTGAACAACAGGCCACAGCAATTTCTAAAAATTTGTACTAAGTTCTCTCAGTTACCTGCAGTTACTAAAGTTTAACTGGTACCAGCACAAAATACCACTTAGTAAACAAACCTGAATCTACAGAATTCTCTCCCATGGATGTTTCCAATACACTGCTCTCACTGATGAAACTATCATTCACATTTTCTTGCTGTTTCAAATCCTCCATTATGACATATCCTGGTTGGCTTGTAATTTCTGTTTCTTCATTTGTACTGTTCTTCAGCTCATTTTGTCTATTCTCCGTTCCTAGAAAACAAAGAGAAATTCTAAAGTACTATAAAACATTTCTTTTCTTTTAGTGTGGAGCACAGAAAACATAGAGCTAACCTGTATTCATCATGTACATAACAGCATAACATACAGTCTTGGTCTTGACTCAAACACTATAGTTTGGAATTTTGACATTTTTATAAATATTAAGATATTACTCTGTAGTTAGACATTAAATTTAAAGAAACAAATAGATTTATTTTTATAAAGTTCTCAATTTCTATGTGTAGGCGTCTGCTAATAACAATGTGTTTTATTGTAACAAATCATTGATGATCAACCTATAGTGCTAAAATGTAGCACCAGTCTTCTCCTTCCACAGTACCCAATGAAGCTGTTCTCAGTGTTTCCTGTCCATGACCTTATGTCAGTGGATGCTCCAGCACTACACACCTGACGTATCTACATACATACAGGATTGTGTACATGGAAAATTACTTATCCTCTGGTAAGAGCCACACAATTTATGGCTTCACTTATTAGTCTGTACAGTTTCTTTTAGGCCCTGCATTGTCCAAGATTACAGAGAAACTGTGGAATAAATGCATTCATTCAGTATTCCACCAAAAAACTGAATTAAACTTAAGTTTTACCCTATATACTCTTTACTGTACTGAAAATTTAGAAATCCAAATTTGAAAAGAATTGAAAATAAAAATATGAAAAGAATATTAATAATTTCCATGTTTGTGAAATATTTGCTACTCTGAATGAAACTGAGGACCAGAATTAAAATTAGGACCACAATAGCCGCTCAGTTGTTGAGCCATTCCCAGGATCTGAGTTTCACTCAGAATGATCTTCTGAGGCTCCAACTTGGTTGGTCTTGTCCTGCAGACTGCAGTGCTCAACCATCTTTGAACTGCATACTCAAATACAGCACCTGTGTATCTGTGTCTGGCAGAACACAGGCTGATTCCTGTCCAAAACCTTCATGCCCCTCTTACCCCAGTCTTATCGCATTGATCCATATGCAGCAACTAAAAGCACAGACACATAGTTCTGGTGAGCTCCTCAGGTGAGCAGGCTGAAGCTGATAAATGGGAAATCTGTTAAAAAATGTTAGTCTCAAAAATCTTATGAAATATATGTGGAGCACAGTAAAAATGAGGGATGGATTATTTGGGGGCTGCTTCTTTTTTATATTTTAGAATCCAAGGGAGCACTGGGATAATTTTACAATATTATAATCATCGTACGGGAATAAAAAGTAGTGGCCGCTTTAATAGTTTATTCTATTATTGATATACTTATATATACTATATATTTATAAGTATATATACTTATATATTTAAGTACTGTATTGAAGGAGAAATCCAGGTAAGGTCAGTTTTGTTTGTTCAAATTAAGCTTCAGAATATGACTGATTATAAAAACATCACACTTGAAAACCAATGGGTTATAAAAAGTAAGGATTCAGTTTAATTACAACTGAATACATACTATGGCAATTCTCATACTGCTAAGTAAGAATTTTTAGTGTTTTAAAATCTATTGATTAAGCTGTTAAATAACTTGATTTTTAAATCCCTGGACGAGCAAAAACATTAGTCCCTGGGTCACAGTGAAATCAATACGATGGGAATCTTACAAAAAAAAGAGATATTAAAAAAAGTCAGTAGTAGTGAAATAAGATTATTACCTCCTGTATTTCCACTTAAATCATTTGCCAGGTCTCCATGTTGGGTTTCACGGAGAGCAATCAGAAAAGGAGAGAACCAATCTTTCTTCTGCACTATTCTGCTCAGAAGCTCCCTTGCACCCTCTCTGTTCCCACGATTGTCAGTAACAGTGTGGATCTGGTGAAAAAAACCCACAAAAAAATCATCATATAGACTTTGGAAATGGTTCGAGGAAGTTAGTAAGAATAGTCTAGGTACAAAAGCATTTCCCTGTCATCATTAAAACATACTTAAAAATAAATATATGAAGCAGACCTGCCCCTAATCAGAAGAGACTTACTGCAGTTTTGTCCAACCTCATGTTTATCTTGGATGGTTTCAGGTGGCATATATAAGACTTATGAGATCTGAAATTTAATTGGAGAGACTGGTAGTACTACACAATGGTTACAATAATAATAACTATATAATAATTATTAGTATTGTGGAATACTAATTGGTGTTCAGACTGGTTTAGGGAATAAGCAACCTTGATTAAGGAGAAGTCATGTCACACATCTTACCAAAACTCAGACTTAATCTGTAACATGACCTTATACATAAGATAGAACATTTCCCTTCTTAAACTCTGGCTTTATCACCTCAATTCCCACTTAAAAATACAATAACCAAGCCTCTAGAAAGTCACTATTGCCCTCAAAGAAGCTATGGAAAAGTGTCCCAAGGCTGTCACAAGCAGAACTTGACATGCAATCACATGAGAAGTGAAATGACAATCCCAAGAGCAAAGCAGCCTGAGACAGGTGTTCAGTCCTCAAAGGTAATTTTCTTGAGGCTCACGAATCCCCCATCCTGATATACAAGGAAATGGGCAAACATTGCAGTGGGAACACCTGACTGAGATTGAACACTAAAAGGAAGTGCATGGGAAATGGGAGTAGGAAGAGGCATTAGGAAAGACTAGGCTCCACTGGAGTTGAAACTGACAGGATTGGGAAGGGTAATGAATGGCTTAATGGAAATACCAGAGGCAAAAAGGTGGTCTGGGGGATCACAGGGACCCATTACCAGGGAATGGAGCTGGTAACCTCCTAAAAGGCCTCTGCATCGACCTGTGTGTTACCATGCTTGACTTCTGATTCATTAGGGTGTAGCTGATTCTTGCTGCTACCTGACAGTCACAAGACAAAGTTATGTACGTTACTGTCATTTAACTGAGACAGAGTACAAAACTACCTTAAAAGTGGATGCGAAGGCTCAGAGTGCAAATGTGATGTAGCACCACCCTTTGTTTACCAGTTTTCCCCTTATTGCTCTGGCAATTATTAATTTAATGTGTTCTAACACCATTTCAGGATATACATTTTTTTGGGTTTCAAGTAAGTTTCACACTCCAGGTAAGTCATTCTTAGCCAAATGGGATAAACACTGGCAAATGTTTTTGTCAAAGGTTAATACTTCCTTGTTCTTGTCAAACTGGTATTTCTGTTCACCTACTATGACAGTCTTTAGTGAACCTATGGTAAAAAAAAGGGGAGACAAAGTCTTGCTTTATTTTAACTCAAGTATTCTTTAGGACTTTACAGGCCATCGCTACTTCCTGGTATGATTCAAGAGCAAGAAGATACTTAATGACACTTCATCTCCTGATCCTAAGGTCTGGGGCAAAATAATAAGTAACAGTAAAGCCTGGTATATTTGTTCCAGTGACTTGGTTCATGGCATTTTTCTTTCACAGGTTCTTAGCTGGCATCCCACCTGCTGTCCCATTGTCAAGGGTCTTCATTGGCTTACCGAGAGCCATTTCTCTTTTCCCCCAAGTTTGGGTACTCCCTGTTCATTTTTACACTTACTAGGCCATTTCTAGTTGTGGATTCCTACGTGCCTCACAGACACTGGGGCTGGGCAGTTTCCGTGGCACTGCCTGGCACCCAACCTGGCAGGCGGGCCACTTACCCGATCCAGGTCCTCCTCCTTGAAGATGCCCATTTCCAGGCACTTCTCGGCCACCTGCACGGTCCGCATCCTGTCCACCAGCGTGCTGTGGAGCAGCTGCACCAGGTGCACACAGAGGTCGTGGTCGGCCTCTTCGGCCGGCGAGGGCAGCTGGCTGAGGCTGGGGTTGGCGTAGCAGGCGGCCAGGCTACAGCCGCCGTGCTCCAGCGCCTGCAGAAACTCGTGGAACCAGCCGCAGCCGCGGGGCCCCCGCTCCACGGCCCGCAGAAGCTCCTCGGCCCCCGCCACCCCGCCTCGCTGCAGGGCGGCCGCCCGCACCTTCTCCCTCTCCTCCGCGCTCAGCGAGGGGAGCTGGTCCAGCACGGGCTGCACCTGGATGAACTGCTTCAGCCGCGACCTGAAGCAGGAGATCATGTAGAGGAACCGCTCGTCCCGGTCCCCCTCTTCCATGGCGGCGCTGGCGGCGCCCGGCGCCCCGGGGCTCCTGCGCGGCCGCGGGAGGACGGCGGGGGGCCCGGGGGCTCCCTAGGTCGGCCGGGGGAGCGCTGCCGCTGCCGGGGCTCCGCAGACAGGCCCGGACTGGGCCTTGGGAGCAACAGGTCCCCTGTTCCCCTCCGCGTCTCCTCCGGCGGGCGCCGGGCCGGCCCCACTTTATTCCAGAGCCAGCGTCGCTTTCGCTTTCGTTTACGAGAGCGGTGTGTGGGGCAGGGACACGGCGCACCGGGGCGGGGGCATTGCGCCTGCAGGGAAGGGCAGCGCTCAGTGCCACTCCTCAGTGTTTAAACCGAAACCTTTAACAGTAACCGTGAGTTTAAAAACCCAATCATAAACACAAACGTCTGTCACTTTCCAGCTCACGAATTTCTCGCGCCAGTCGCAGCGTGTCAGGGTTTTCGGCACTGGCGACTTCCCAGGCACGCACCGACAGCAGTGAGGCGCTCGAGCCGTGAGTGAGGCTGTTGGAACGTCTTTCCCTGAGATGTGGTTTCACCCATAAGGTAGACGTCACTGAGCTGCAGAAGCAGTCTTGGTTTCCATCTTGGGGTTTTCGGGAACCTCAGTGTGATTCTGAGATAAGGCAATGTTTTGGTCCTGGACAGCTCAAGAGAGACACTGAAAAATTGGAGAGAGTCCAGAGGACCAACAGGATTGGAGAGCCTGGTACATGTTGGAAGGAACTGGATTTATAAAGTTTGGAGAAGATAAGGCTCAAGGGAGTTCCAACCACAGATGTCCAGGTGTTAAAAAAATAAACTAGTTATGGGTAGAATTGGCTTTTGAAGTTTCAGGGTGTGATATGTTTCAATGATCTCAGACCTAGGGGAAGATTAACAAAGCTTGAGGCAAAGGATGTACCACTGATGGTAGGCACAAAGAACACAGAATGTACGGGCCTCGAGGACATTTGATAGAACTCCCAAGGTAAGGAAGAAACTAATAAAGCCGACTTAGCAATTGTGCTGAAATCAGCTCTGACTGGATCGAAGGTAATTCCGGCAGGGGGAGATTGTGACTACCAATTCAAGAAACCCATTGACTCAAAAAAAGAGGAAGACAGAGCATGTGGACTTATTAGCATAAGAAGTGAGGCAATCATTTAACCAACAGAAGATAGAATACTAATTAATTAGTAACTTGTAGCCAATGAACATTAATGCCTTTGCTTGCTAAAATGTATAAAAAATGTTGATAGTCATGGTGCTGTCTTTGTGGCTTTGCCACCCAGTACCCCTTCCTGTGCAGAACTGTAAATAAATCATACACCTTGACTCTGTGTGTGGATTGGCCTCTTGCCCACCAGGTGAAGGAACCTGCTTTGGGACAACAGTTTTCCAGCTCCTGAAAGTGGGATCCCTCTTCACTGGGGTACATAGGACAAGGAGCAATTGGAACACATTTCTTCAGGGGAAATTATTTCCAGGTGTAAGAAAAAATTATTATCCAGTCTAGAAACAATTAGACATTGGAATATATTGCCCAGAGAAGTAGTGGGAGTTTCCTCAACAGAAATATTCAACACTTGGCTTGACAGGGTCCTTGATTTAATGTCTTCCTTTTAAAAGGAAGCCAGCTATCTCTAGAGGTCCTTTCCCAGACTAAAATTTTCTGTAATTCAAATTGTGCCCTCAGCTGATTGTCATGTTGAGATGTGCTACAACATTCTGCTCTCAGAGGAGCTTCCTTCAACTTAATTTGGTTTTGTTTTCATTTCATTGTCTTTCTACTTATGTCAGCTTTCACTCTTACTTCGTCATTACTTTTTTATTTCTGCTTTATGCAAGTTTCCTTTGAAAGATTTCTGAAGAAAGTATCATGTCTTTTTTTCCTTTGCTATTTTTTTTTTGCCTTCAGTACCTTATTTGGAGGGCACATGAGCCTTCCTTGCTCAGTCTCAGAAGCCCACAGGACTCACTTGGGTTCAGTGTGTGCAGATGGGTTGTTTGTGTGTTTGTTTTGTTGTGCATGTACTTGTGGTAAATTAGGCCGTGTATTTATCCCACAACAATCCTTTACTGTTTCTGAGGGTTTGCAGGCATTAAAAGGACATTTAAAACTTCTAGAGATTTATAAAAAAAAATGCAACTTGTTTATTCCAGCTAGTGTGAGGTTGCGTACATGATGACTGAGCACAGCACTGCCACAGCACCACGCTGCAAGTCACAGCACCGCACCATGCAGTGTAGACGTGTGTTAACAGTGTAAGAATTCTATTTGTGTCCAGCATTTTAGAGATCAGCGGCACAAATGGGAGGAAATGCAATTCATCAGTGGGCAAAACTCCTGTTGCTTCACCTCTGCAGGCAGCCAGAGGCCATGCCAAGCAGTGCTTTTCAGCTTTTATGTGTTATGATGCTGGTGAGTCAGATAGGAGCTCTGATGAATTCTCATCAGAGGGAGGAGATTGCCAGGACATAATCTGCTGGAGAAAGAGGGAAGACAGGTTCATCTGCTGGCAGCAGCAGGGAGATGGGAGACCAGACAACGTGTTTGTTGAGTGAACAGAATGGGAACATGGAAGGAGAGGAAGACATGCAGGTGGGAATATGCTTCCTGGAAACAGCAGTCTTGGGCAGGTCAACACACAGGACTAATGTTTTTTACTGGAAATTTGTGCCTGTAGATGAACATGCACATCCAAATGGTTTAGGTTGCTGCACAGCTTAACTATTGAAAAGCATCACAATCTGTCCTTTGCTTTAAATCTTGAACTGGTGGGACCCAATGAACTTCATGAAGAGTTCTGCTGATTTGTATGGTCTCATCTCTCACATTTGGAGTGATTGTCCCAGTTTCTTTGGTACTTCAACTACATTAGCTGTTCTTGAATTGCCAGGAGACTTCTCTGAATCTACAGCTTTTAATTTATACATACTTTCAGCCACAGGTTTTAAATGTACATAGCCAAGTTCCTAGGTTCAAGCAAATCCAAAACTTACCTCCTAAAGTTCTGAAAGCTTCTACAGATTTAGAAGTTGTGCATTGTAATGTGTGGGTATACAATCCTTAACATTATTCCCAGTTTGATTTGGATAACACAGACCCATTTCTGTCAAGTCAGAACAGACTGGGCTTAAAGGTAGCCCTACCCCTTCAAAAAAATCAACAAACTAACCAACAACAACCAAACTACACCCACCCCCCCAAACCCAAACAAACAGGAACCCCAAAACAGCAACAAAACTAAAGACAAATAAAAGGGGCAATTTTTGCTGTTTAGAAAATTAACACATTTTCAAAACAAATGGTTTGAACCTGCTTCTGGAAAAAAATGTTTGAAACAGGGGTCTTCATGTACTTCACTTAAGGTACCTGAGAAGGCACCTGAGAAGGCAGATCTTTCTTTGACAGAGAAGGGGCAGTTCAAGTATTGCCACCAAACTTTCTTGTTCTGTTTCTGCATTCCTTGGCAGATGTCTAGGAAGCTTAGAATCTCCATAACATTGTAAAGTCTCCCTTAGTTTCCCCCACCTGAGATTCTTCTTCTTGATACAAAGAGAAGAGAAGGAGCCAAGAAAAGGAGTAAGGAATGGAACTTTTCCTTCACGTGGACTAACTGCAGTAGTTGTAGCTCCTCCTCTTCCCCAGTGCTCCTTTCCCAGTCCATCTGTTTTGCTGAGTCTCTTTACATTAATGTGAAATATCAAGTGATGAAATTGGACAAAAGACATTTTGTAAACCAATGCTCATGCATTATACTTTTTTCGTTGATTTTATTTTTAATTTATAGCAGACTTTTTAGAATGTAGCATAAGCACAAATACTTTTTTAGAAAATGTACTAACCTGTTCCTTGTAGCAGACATTAATATAGACTGAGATAGAGCAGAAGTCATTAACACTTGCTATTGAAAAAAAAAGGTAAAAAAAAAGCAGAAGCTGTTTTTTATTCAGCACTCCTGCATCAATGGAGTATATGCAGGCAGAGATTCTGAATGGTCCCTAGGATCTGATCCTGCAAGGCACTGAGCAGTGCAGACCTCCTGGAGTCATGGTAGAAGTAAGAGCAGTCAGCCTGTGGTAGCATTTGGACCTTTCAACAATCAACAGTAGCATGAGGCAGAAGAAAATTTGATCTTGTATGGGAAGGGTTGGTTTATCTTTTCACTTACAAAGGTATTCACTTCATTTTTGTATCTTTAAAAGCAAAGGTGAAGCAGAGCCTTGCTCAGTAGCCCAACACACACTGATTTTAAATGAGGGAAGATTCACCCACCTTGGGTTAATCTACTGGCTGTGTATGACTGGAAGTGTCATGTTTCATTCCAACCCCAACGTACAACATATGTATCTGTGTGAGGGACAACTGCTATTGCATCTGTCTGTAGCACTGGTTTAGAACAGAGGGTATAGTTTGGTTTCAGTTAAGATTGAAGTGCTCCCCCACTAACAGTTGGATTACATGCTTTTCTGAAACCAGTTTTCTTCCTAGAGGAGTTTCACATTAAAGCTATAAGATTAGAAAATCATGTGAACATTTTTAAATATTTAAAAACAGTAATAAAAAGGTAATTTCATTTAAAAATAAACACAACATTTGAAGCAGAATAATATTTTAATAAAATTAAATCTAAGTATTCACAAAGCATTATGCACATACAGTACATACTGTATTTAAAGCCTACAGACCTTAAATCATTTTATTCTAATGTAGTCAGCTTTGGACACAAGCTAAGCTTACTCGTTTTGTAATAAGAAAGTTTACAATTGTTCCTGAAAGTGATTTTACATATATACATATATATATATATATATAGTCTATATCTATACTCCTACATATAAGTGTAGGTATATACACATACTTGTGTGTGTGTGTATAAATATATATACACATACATACACACCTATGTACATATATAAAATACACACATGCATACATACAGGAATGTGTGCCTGGTGTATGTGTGTGTTCACATACAGATATACCCTATCCAGGATCATTGGGAGGGGCCAGTCAGTAAAAAGAGGTAACTGCAAACAGCCACCTTACTAATTATAACACAAAAATGTGTGAAGTATTTTTAAATTAAACAGATTGTTAATAATTTGCATTGAACAAAAGGAACACAGTCTTCTGTATTATATAGAAATTAGGTTTATTGCATTTGATTATGTTTGTATGACAGATGAAGAGTACCTGTCTGCTCATCACA